GCAAAGCGCCACTTTCAGAGGCTTTGGCAGTGCATTTGCACTGCCTATTTTGCTGCTAGGCAAGCTTCTAAGAGCAGGAGCAGCTCCCGCCCATCAGCTGTAAGGTGGGGAGGGGGAGGGGCTGGAGCGGGGAAGATAGCTCCAGTTCTTTTCTGGGATGATCGCTTCCCCCCCTCTGCAAAAATGGAGCATAGGAAAAATCACAATGCGATGGCAAAAGCCATCCCAAAATCTTCATCGCTATGTGGATTCTTCGTTAAACGGGGCACCCGTTAAGTGAGGCATCACTGTATTTTGTAATTTCAGTTCATTAACTCCATCCTTTGATAGATGAGTCTCTTGTAGGTAAATAATGCTCACCTTGTTCTTCTTCAATAATGTTTCTTTTCTCTTCCTCTTTGTTACAGACCCTAGGCCTTTCACATTTAAAGAAGCTACCCTTATGTTTTTCCCCATATCCGTTCTATATCCCATCTTTTTCTTTGGGTCCCATTATGCATCCCACAAAACAGAAAAAGAAAAAGAAAAAAACCAAATTCACATTGTTCCTTATTTAATCCCTTATCCCTAACTTCCCACTCTACAATTAACCTCTTTTCCTTCCTCCAGTTCCCCATGCTTCACTAAGGTTTGACGCGAGCTCCGGGGAGGGGGAGATGCCACCCACACCAGTCTGAACCCCAGCCAAATCCTCATTCTATTTCACCCCACTTTTTCCCCCTTAATACCTTCCCTTCTTTCATTTGACTTGTTTATTTCTCTTTTAGCATCCTTATCACTTAATCTTTCATCTCTCTTCTCCATCCCCACAAAAAGAAACAAAATAAGTGAAGAAAACAACAAAAAACAAAAAAGGGGGAAGGGACAGTGCAAAACACTTTTAAAAGGGGGGAAGGGACAGTATAGAACATTTTTAAAAGGGAAAGAAGAAAAAGAAAAAAGGGGGGAAAGGACAGTATAGAAATTTAAGAAGGGGAAAAAAAAGAAAAAAGGGGGGGGAAGGGGAGTCTTCAAGCATCAAATAGTTTCTCTCAGTCCAGATATCTTCTCTCTCATGTTTCTACTTCTTGCTTGTTTTGTGATACTACATTTTTTACAATGCTACATTTGTAAAGTATTACACTGTGCACAGATGTGTTCATTTGATTTCAACAAAGCTACCTATTCCTATTTCACACACACTGAAAATAGTAAACACATTAAAATATTTAAAGCTAGTAGTTTCTCCTGAAGTCATTAAACAATGAAAGATTTATATGCATTAATATTTTAAATAATACAGTCTTTTGTTGCTTACCAGCTTCTCTCTCCCCTATACTGGCTGCCAAAGCTTTATTTTGATTTGTTAATAATTTCTGTTCCTCAGCAGATCTTGCAAGTTCCTGGGTTAGCTCTTGGATCTGTGCTTTCAAAGCCTCCAGTTCTATAACTAGACGGAATTCCGATTCCTCTTTCAGCTTTAAGGCTTCTTCCAAAGCATATCTCTCTGCTAAACAGCCTTCCATGAAGCCTGAAATCCAGACAATGGATAAAAACACAATAATCAAGCACAGTAAACTTTGGTGAAAATTCAACACTATGTTTATAATGTCTATAACTATCTAAAGAACACAAGTAGATCAAACAATATTAACAATTACATAAACATTTAAAACTGAAAGCCTACTATGCGCAGAAGTAAGGTACTGAAACATAAATTTATTAATTTCAGTTTTCCCAGATGTACCTGCTTAATAGTGATACGGAAATAAGCATGCTTTAGGTATATTATCACAAACCAGTCTTCCTTTCTGAGAAAAGGTTATTGTCCTGAATTGCTTGGTGTGTTAACTTCTCTAAGGTCCAAAATACGCCAGATCTTTTTTTTTTTTTTTTTTGAAACTGTAAAATAACGGGAGTAAAAACCATGGGGAAGGGTGTCCACTGGTACAGGCTAAATTGCATTTTTGTAAAAACAAGGACAGTTTTTCTTCCCACAAAACAAGAGATGGGTTATGAGTCAGAAGATGTCTGTAGAAGGAAAAGGCAAAAACTTAGTGCATTGTCCTTTTCAAGGATAGGACCCACATGTTTTTGGCAATGGTGAGCAATGTAGGTAACAATGGGATCTGGATTGTAAGTATGAGTGAGAAATTTGCCAAGAAACTCTAAATTGTCTCTGCTAGTATTGAGAGTAGAAACCCATTCCCTTGGGGTTGGTCCTTTTTTTATGGTGATTATCTATATGAGGGGGTGCTGATAAGTACAGTGGTGCCTCGCATAATGAGCACACCGTTTAACGACGAATCCACATAGCGATCTTTTTTTTGCGATCGCTAATGCGATCGCATTGAGATGTTTAGATAGGGAAAACATCACATTGCAATGATCGGAAAGTGTTTCACTTACCGATTATCGCACTGCGATGTTTTTAGAACAGCTGATCGGCGGGGTTCCAAAATGGCCACCGGGTGCCCAAAATGGCCACCGCAAACATTTTTGCGTGGTTTCCTCGCTTACCGAGGCAGCGAAAATGGCGGCGCTATGGAGGATCTTCGCTGAACTGTGAGTTTGGGCCCCCTAGGAACACATTACATGAAGTTTAATGCATTCCTATGGGGTTTTTAGTTCAGTTTAGCGATGTTTCCAGATAGCGACGATTAACGTCGCTATGCGGGGCACCACTGTATTGAGTATTACCCAGAAAAAAATGAGCTAGGAAGCTATAAATTGCAGGGTGTATAGGCCAATTTGTCTATATTCAATGGTGCAAAAATCAACTACCTATGATTTTAACTTAACTTTCATTTTCTGGTCCAAAGTGAACATGGCGGCACCTCCAGAAAAGTTCGATGTGGAAGAGCATAGGCCCATAATCAAGTTCCTGTTTCTCCAAAGGAAAGGTGCAAAGCAGATCCATGATGAAACATCACAAATTATGGGTGACAGTGTGTCATGAGTGCTTCCGAAGATCTGGACCCAGAAGGGTTAACTGTGGCTGAGGAGAATGTGGAGAGATCGGAAACAGCTGAGCAGCCTCCAGGTTCTCCCTCCACAGCAGACAGGCTTCGGGGCAGGCTTCGGAAAAGACTCAGGGCAAGAAGAGCAGAGGATCGCTCTAAGGCTTTCCACAGGGACCTGTGTTCACCTAGTCCTGAGTACTAGCAGAATAGAGAGCTTCAGCGAAGCCAGAAACTTCGTGGAAGCAAGGAGTCAAAACTTTGGCTGGCATCCACGTCTCTTGTTCCTGAACTCTGGACCTTGACCCTGGACCTGCGCTGGTATTGGACTTTGGACCTTGGCCCTGGACTACGTACTCTGAACCCTGGACTCTGACTGTGTATTTGACCCTGGACTTTGACTTTGGCCTGCACTCTGTAAGTTTGTTTTGGAACTCTGGCTTTGCATTCTTGGTATCTCTGACCTTGGACTGGTTTATCAGACTTCGGCTATTGTAACCCCCGGGAACATGACACAGTGGCCCTTCATATGCAGCAGTTAAACGTTGGGTTGACAATTTTTAAACTGGCCATTTGAGTGTTGAAAGTGAGAAACCCAGTGGAAGGGCTGTTTCTGTCTCTGTGCCTGCAAATGTGAAAGCCATCCATGACATGATCATGGAGGACTGCAGAATATCAGCCAAAAGTATTGTTATATATCTGAGAATATCATGTGAGAGAGTTGGTGGTATTATCCACAACGAGTTGGAAATGAGAAAGCTGGCAGCAAAGTGGATCCCCAAATTTTTGACAACCGAACCAAATAGGAAATGTGTAGAGTCATTGGTGGCTGTTCTGGAACATTTTGCAAGAAATGAGTCAGATTTCCTGGGCAAACTGGTAAATGTTGATGGGACATGGATCTACTGTTATGATCCTGAGACAAAGGAAAGTCTAAGGAATAGAGGCATAGTGGTTCCCCCAGGCCAAAGAAGTTCCAAGTGCAAAGATCGGTGCAGAAACAAATGGCAACAGTTTTTTGGGAGTTCTGCTGGTGGACTACCTGCAAAAGGGTTTAATCATCAATGCAAAATATTATGTTTTATTGACGAAGTTGAGGCAAAACATCAAGGAAAAACGTTGAGGAAAGCTCTTCAAAGGTGTCATCCTGTTGCATGACAACACCTCGTCACACACTGCAGGTGAAACAATGGCAAAACTGATGTCCTTAGCCTTTCAAGTGATGCCCCATCCACCCTATTCTCCCGACCTGGAGAATTATCTATTATCTGTTCCCCAAACTCAAAAAACACCTAGAGGGACAATGATTTGGGAGTGTTCTGGAGGCAACTAATGCTGCAAATGAGTGACTGCTTACACCAGCAGTCAGAAGAATTTTATTTGCGGGGACTTAAGAACCTGCTGGACAGATGTAGCAAGTGCAATGACTTCTGGGGGAATATGTAGAATAGTGTGACAGTTACAGCTTCCTAGCTCAATTTTTTCTGGGAAAGGCTCAATACTTATCAGCACCCCCTCATAACATTGTCTGTTTCCTCGTTAAAAAGGTCATCCTCATCAAAGGGAAGGTACCCAATACTGGTTCTGGCATCCTTATAAAAAAGAAGTTATATACCTGTAACTCTAGTTCTTCAAGTGGTACTCTTTGAATTCACACTAATGGGTTAATCTGCGCCTCAGCAGAGCAGCTTCGGAAACTTCTAGAGCTCAAGCACCTGGTGCTGGGACCTCCCACCTAGGCTATATCCCTGCCCCGGCCACCAGGTGTCTTGGTTCTGTAGAACGGTCCGCCGCTGTATAGCATGCCTAATGACATACATGACAAACAGTGGGGAGGAGGGTGCGACATGTGAATTCACAGAGTACCACTTGAAGAACCAGAGTTACAGGTAGGTAACTTTTTTTCTCCTTCGTGGTCTCTGTGAATGCACACTAATGGGTGACTAGCAAGCTGACTTACCAGGAGGTGGGCATCACAACACAACAGAAGCCAACATGGCTCTTCCCACAGCAACCTCAGCCTTGGCCCGAATATTGAGGCGGTAATGTGTTGCAAAGGTTAAAGGCGTGGACCACGTCGCAGACTTGCAGACATCAGCCAGGTCAACTCCATGCAGGAAAGCCATGGAGGAAGCCACCGCTCTTGTCGAGTGGGCTCGAACAGTGGAAGACAAACGTTTGTGAGCAATCTCATATGCCAGCTTGATTGTTGCAACCACCCATCTGGAAAAAGTTTGGGGTGAAACAGGGGAACCTTTAGAGTGTTCTTGGAATGACACAAACAGTCTTTGGGAGGAACACAAGGGCTAAGTCTTGGAGATGTAGTAGGCCAGGGCTCTCTTGACATCTAGGGAGTGAAGTGACTTTTCCAAATTAGTCACAGGATTAGGAAAAAAAAGTAGGAAGGACCACCAGCTAGTTGAGGTGGAAAGATGTTGCCACCTTTGGAAGAAAGGAGACATCTAGAAACAGAGTGACTTTGTCAGGATGGCACTGCATAAAGGGAGGATCCACCTGCAAGGGCGTGAGTTCACCCGCACGCCTTGCCAAAGTGACAGCAAGGAGAAAGGCTCTCTTGAAGGTAAGTAGTCTCAAAAAGGTAGAAGCCAGAGGTTCAAAAGGTGGAGACATCAGCTTCCGCAGGACAAGTTGAAGAGACCACTGCGGTGTTGGTGGCTTGTAGGATGGGAGCATACTGCGAAGGCCTTTAAGGAATTGCTTCGACATTGGGGGCTGAAGCAACTTGGCTGCATCAGAAAGAGGCGGCTGATATGTGACTATAGCGGAAATGTAAACTTTAAGCGTAGAATGTGACAATCCACGCTAAAAGAGGAGAAGAATGAACCTCAAGGGAGTGTCCAATGAGGAAGGGTAAGCAGGTAAGTTGCGCTCAGCAGCAAGGTCACAGAACACTTTCCACTTTCGCACATGTGATGAGATGGGTTTTTGAGTTAAAGCCTTGTAAGGAATATGGGTTTTGTAATTAAGAAATGAGCCAGGGAGGTTCCATCTTGTTTCTTTGTATAAAGTATCTTTGCTATGCTGACAGGTTGGTTTCTAGGCGAGCAGAGAGCATGTTATTCTGATAACCTGAGAAAAGGACTCGGTGTGATTAGATGGGAATTGTTGTGACTTTCTGCGAAACCACAGTAAACCCAAATAACATCTGGTGTGTATGGGAAAGAAGTCATGTGGTGCAACAGGCCTGTTTGCCTAGTAACAAACGCTGATTGGATGACATCGTGGGAAGGAGCGATAAGCCCTTGCCAGTTACTCTTGAAAAAGGAACTTTTTCCCTATGGACATTGTCATTCAAGACCGACTCTTCATTCATTCGTGACACATGGGACTAACCTTTACTATCCTGGATTACCTAGGATTTATGGGCTTTTTCCTAAGGACTATGCATGGACTATTTTCTATGGACTGTTCCCTAAGGAATACCCTTTATGGACTTCTTTTCTTGGAATACTCCATATGGACTATGCTCTTGTAATTTTGTAAGGACTATGGCACATTTACTGGGTTTTTCTTTTCTAAGGATAATGGGCCTTTTACTGGATTTTTCTTT